CCACCCCAGTAGCCCCCCAGCTGCTCTGCCCCAGGTGTCCCCAAGTCAGCTGCTGCTCAAACTGACCAGCGGCTGATTCCAGGAAGCAGAGGCAGAGCAGCTCTGTCTCGGGCTTCCTGGAGTCAGCCGCTGGTCAATTTCAACAGCGACTGAATCCAGGACAGCTGGGGTGCTGCTGGGTTGGTCCCTCAGCCCCGAGGGGCAGCACTGCTGGACCTACCCGGCAGCACTCCAGCTGTTCTGCCCCCTGCTTCCTGGATTCAGCGCTGGTCAGTTTTAGCAGCGGCTAAATCGGGGAAGCTGGGGGCAGAGCAGCTCCAATGGTCCGGCTGCCCGGAGCTCTTCCGGGTTCCTGATGGTGCAGGACCATCAGGAGTGCCGTACCGTCAGATGCCGGACCATCGGAGTTTTACTGTAATATGAAACTGAGTCCAGTGGTGCTCTGATAGAAGTAAACAACAAAACTCACCTCAACATCAGTGAAAGTGCAATTTGTTAAATGATTCAGATGAAAAAAATAATTGTAACTTAAAAATACTTTTTCAGTTCATTACAATTACTATGTTTGAAAGTGTTTCCCTTTTCTTTTCAGCAGAAGTACATAAATGAAAGCAATTTCATTCCTGATGTAAAAGATGAATTCAGGTTGAATTTCATTCACATATGGTTTAAAGAACTTAAAGACCTGTCTATACATATTGATCTACCAGCTCTTGTCTTATTTTCCTGTTCATATCTAACTTCATTATACTATTACCATTATTCTTCAGCTTAAGCTCTGTCCACCTCTTTTTCTCTTTTCATCCATATAAATTTATTTGTGCAATAATCTATGATTTTTTTTATTCTTCCCTTCTACAGCTTGTTTTGTGGATATTGTTGTGGGATTTGACATCTCTTCACAACAGAAAGATGACCGTTTATTTGCTGGACAGTTCCAGTTGGAAACATATCTCCCTGACATTCTGAAAGCTCTTACATCCTTAAGTAGTCTGAGTTGCAATGTAGGAACAAAGACACAGAGCAGTGTGGCTGTTTATCTGATCAACACACTTCAAAATTCTTCAAAGTTCCAAATTGACAGCGAGAAAATTCTGAACATCCTTAGAAATCTCACCATCAATAAACCATCTTATCTCAATAGCGACTTCCTGGAGTCGCTTTGGAAAACATTTACAAGCAAATCTGATGATCAGGATCGAAAGAAGGTAATCTTGTCTCTTACAAAGAGACTTCAGGCCAAAAGTAAGATGTTTTAATTCTGCTTTTGATTTCCTGTGATTTGAAACTCCCTATCTTCCTGTAGGTTTTACTTGTATTTTCAGATGGTTTGGATGAAGATGTGGAAAAACTTGAACAAAAGTCAGAAGAACTCAGAAAGAAAGGTATTTTAAGGTGGACAAATACTTACATTTCTCTGGGAGAGTTTATAAGAATGTTATATAAAGCTCTTATGCTGAAGAAAGGCAGGTGAAAAGGGACGGAAGAAAAGCTAAAACTTTCCCTTTTAGCAGCCAAGATATTACATCAGGGGATGCTATATGAAATGGAGATGGAGAATGCCACTAATTCAGAGTGTTACATCCTAACCCTGCTTTGCATTGTTTGACTGAAGCTTCAGTGCATGATGGGGCGCAATAACCCACAGTCATCACCAAGTGATGCAATGTCATGAAATAAATATAAGAAGAGCAACAGATTTATTCAGCACCTGTCACTGGGACCAGAGTTCAGAAGGGCTCAGCATGGCGAACCTGAGACTGTAGTGCTGGCGGCTTGATTCTCAAATGCTCACAAGTACCCAATGTGCCTCGTGAGCCCTTGTGGAAATCTGGCTACTTACTCTGCTGTATACACAGGAGCTGAGCACTTCTCAGTGTCTAGCCCACTGTGTGGGTGCTGAGCTCTTCTGAAATGTCTGGCCGTGATACTGGGATATTTGTTTCCAGTCTCCTGTATTTGTATTCCACTGTTGGATTTATCACAGCTGATGATCTAGCCTAGTGTGTTTCTTCTCTTCAGCTTTAAACTCCGTTTCAGTACAAAACAGTGTTGTTATGAAAATTAAAAACTTGGCTTCAAGTAAAAGGCTAAAATATCCTAGAAATAATTGTGCCAATAGCCACAGTAGCTGCATGCTCAAGCTTCACTCAGAGAATTCATTCCATGGTTGCTTCTGCTTCTGGATTGCCATTGGCTCATTTATTTTCTGTAAATTAATTATGGACGCTTAAAAATAAAATGTGAAGATAAATTATTATTTTTGTTCTCTAACATATAATCTCGAACATATAACACACACAGGTTCCATCAACCAGATAATTGTCTAAGATTTTCATTTGAATAATTTTTGTGTTATGTTTTGCTCACTTATGATCAATGTTTTAAATAGGCTTGAATGCACTGATAACGGTTGTTCTGGAAAGAGCCTCTAATTCTCATGAGCTTCAGTATATTGAGTTTGGAAGAGGATCTGAATACAATAACCCACTAACCATAGACAAGCAAAATATTGCCAACGCTCTAGCCCTCTCTGTGGTAAGTCATTCAGAGAAGCTCCAGTGTTTAGATAGAGATTTGATGGAGGCCCTAGCCATTTTCTTGAAGAACTGAACGGGCCTGATGCCTGAGAAGAGTTCAATAGTCAGGGAGGGCAAGATTCTCTGGTATGTTCAGGCTGCTTCGTGCCCAAGCTGGTGTCACAAACCAGGCCTAGAGTCATCGTGCTTAGCCATCTGTAGTGTCCTGCCACGTAAAAGAATCTTCTTGTGTAACTGGAGAAGCCCCCTTAGCCTGGCAACTGTTGGAGCGAGGACTGTGGCTGGTGAAAAGGGGGGATAGCCCAACAATTCCTCATGGCTGGAATGTCCTCTTGGAGTATTGGACTGCTGGTATAAAACAGAGCAGCGTTGGGGGCCAGCTCTTGTTATCAGATAGCCCCAGTTTCAGGGTGCTGCAAAGGCCTGCTGCACTGGTTGCTGTTCCACCACCGCTGAGAAATCAGCCTGGAGAAGGAAAGACATAATCATGCTCCTCCTGAATTAAATGCAAAACCCTCAATGTCTTAAAAGTGCTCTGGATAAGGGAAGTATGTATGAAAAATGAGGCTATTTCTTCTTCTTTTCAAGCGCAACATGGCTGAAAGGATATGCTGTTCAGTGCCTTGCATGTGCATTGGGGACGGAGGTGCAACTGGCCACCGAGGGGGACAAGGAGATAAAGTAAGGATGTTTTTGTGACACACCTCTTAGATTGTAATTATACAGGGGCCAACCAAGGCCAGAGAAATTCAAATGCTGGAGCTTTATAAATTTTTTATTGCCTTTACCTCTATCTGTTCTCCAGGGTCTGTCTACCCGTTAAATGCTGCAATTATGCTGCTGAAGTGCTTCAGTATAGATACTACCTACTCTGACAGGTGGGATTGTTCTATACAAGTAGGCAATCCAGCTCCCTGAGAGGCAGTAGTTAGGTTGATCAAACAGCATGAGATTTGAGGGTTTTTTAGTATATATTGAATGGTTCCTAAAGGCATTAAAATAATCTGAGGGGAACAAACAAAAATACTAAATACAGCATAAAAGACCCGTTGTACATTGCTAGCTGGCACAACGATACTAAAAAAGTATATTCTAGTAAGCCTAGCTGGGTAAAATCAAACCAGTTGTAAAGCCCCAAGACAATAGTGGCCTTTCTCCTGTTGTGTTTCCTGGGGTTTTTTTTAATTGTAATTAAAAAAAAAAGTCAAGATTCCACACTTTGTTAATGTTTAGCACTCTTTTAGGTGACTTAGACACTTCTTTTATAATTCCTAAAAGACGCTGGGATATAAAGGAATAAAAACAAAGTCTCTCTGAAGTTTATCTGTTTATCTTGCTGTCTATTGTTGAACCCATTTTTCCAAATTTTTAAGAGTGCTTTGAATGAACAGTTATCAATGGAATGAAATTTGCAATGACCAAACTAAAACAGCCTTTTGCAAACTTGTTCCTAAATAAAGTACAATATCAGGACAATCCTTAAGTTTTACCTATTTTTTAATCCAAAGAGAATTTTGGTATTTATCTTTACTTTTTCTGTCTGAATTTCAGGGAGCAAAAGGTATAAAAGGCCATGCAGGATACTTAGGAGAAGACGGAGAACCGGTATGTTATAAAACTTGACTACATTTTACTAAGATGAAAATACTTCAAAACCAAGTGCCCACAAAGATTTTAATTTTGTCAGTATGAAAAAATAATGTAATATCCTCATGCGAAAAGAGTGATTTCCAAATCTTGATTCAAAATAAATTCTTGCCATAAAATAAAATTATCACATATGTTTTTAAAAAGTATCAAGATTCAGCACTTTGACAATGATTAATACTCTAGAATCGTAGGTAACTTAGAGTTCCTTTTCTTGTTTAATTGTCAAATGAAATTGGAGATTATTTTGCATAAATTCTTGATTAAAAAATCCTATTGGTCTATATGAGAATGCAAGAGTTATAATTTTTCCAAATACTAAGAAATTAAAATGATTCTTCCCTGATTTCCTGCCTTAGTGCAGGGGTGGGATTTCTTGACTTCTCAAGGTACCTTCCAGGTCTATATTTCTATGGTTCTGTAAACAGAGGCTAAAGAGAGAAATCTAATTTTCGTCACATAAGTAGGCAATTATTTGCATGTCAATTACATACTTACTTTGCACGTGTACTAGTGAATTGGTGCACAAGCATTCCTGTAGAGTTGCCTAATTAGGTAGGAACTTATCGAGCCATATGTTTATATAGAAATCCCCAATAGTGTACAAAGTAGGTAAGCATTTGTGTGCAAGTGGATGCCAACACATTGACTATTGGCCCCATCGAAGGCATTTATGTAATTTTTGCTATCAGCAAGCTGCTAAGGCACAAGAAAGACACTAGGAAACATTTTCTGCCCATGTGCACAATTCTCATTTATAAATAATTGGATTTCACACCTTCTGTCTTTTCACATACACATCTTGATTCACATTAGATTACTCCACTTTTACTCCACTGTGTAACCCCTTTAACTTGAATACAGTACATAGGCATAACACTGAGTAATGGAATGGTGACACTGGCCAAGTCTACACAAGAGGGCAGTGTTGAACTAAGGCATGCAATTCCAGCTATGTTAATAGTGTTGCTGGAGTCGACATTCCTTAGTTTGACTTACCACAGCATCCCCACTGTGGAGAGGTCTTAACTGTCAGCTACTCTGACTTGCTCTGGTAGAGTCCCAAAGTCGATGGGAGTGTGATTAACAGTTGATTTAGTGGGTTTTTACTAGACCTGCTAATCAACCCAGCCTCAGGCCCATTTAAAGGAGACAGTATTTTCAGTTTTGACTATTTCTGTTTCAGATTGAAAAACCCAAATGATAACACAAATATTATCTATCCTATTTTCCATTCTCTTGAACCACAGCTGGGAAAGATGTGGCTGCGGGGCTACCGCTTGTAGCAGAATATGCACGGGTGAATTAAGATAGCAAATATGCATGAATGTGGATCTGACGAGTTAAACGGCATGAGTAGCAACATGAGAAGTACACCAGAGAAACTATTCTAGCATTTGCTGAGAGACCAATTAAATCATATTTAATGTTTAACTTGGGTTCACAATACTATGGAGCAGCTTCCTGGCCCCACTTGTTTTGCACAGCTCAGGTGGAGCAAAGATGCAGACGCTGCCCTCATCTCCCCTTCTGGGGAGAGGATGAGTCACAAGAGGATGCAGAGCCAGCAAAGTTGGCTCCTGCACCATGTCATGCTCCTGTGTAACTGAGAGAAGAATTCAGCCTTTGCACTGTGCTCACTGAAGAAAAACTGAAGAAAGCCTGTGGTTTTTTTTTTTTTGTTCAGTGGGCCTATGTCTTTAATGAAGCAATATTCTCCCTAGTTGTCTCCCAACCTCATCCTCCCTGAGCAGGAACTCTCTAAGCAGAGGAGTAGTATGAACATTAATGGGCACTTTGCATTTTTTAGCTTAGCACTTTTGTTTGCAGTCTGCAGACTGATGAGATTAGTTTTTCATATAACTATCGGCAGCTTGCAGTGTTTTGTAAGCACTCTGGAGAGGAACTACTGTGGTTTTAACTGCACACACACTGAACCGTATTCATTAACATACATGCTCCTTTACCAGTGTTACATTATCTCATGAATACAGTCACCCTCTGATCAAACATATGATCACTCTCCTCACAAACCTTATATTTCATTTACTAGGCAGAATATACTAAAACATTCATCATTCTCTCTTTTTCAGGGTTTAAGAGGACTGACTGGACTGCCGGGAAAACAAGGGATTAAGGGATGCGAGGGTAGTAGAGGTCTTAAAGTAAGAATCTACTGCTAACATAATTTTAACTTAACAAAATGTCTTTGCATTTACTGTTTATTTAACTAATTCAAGCAAATATCTGTTGTAATTCTTTTCAGGGATACCGAGGAATATCTGGTCAAAAGGTACAGTACTGATACTTACGTTCTGAAAAAACTTTGTTTTGATCTGACTACAAATCAGACGAGGTGGTTGAAAGCATAAATAAGAAATGAAAGTGCATTGGAGGAGGAAGAAGAAGAGAAAAAAGATATACCCTCATGTTCATCTAGACACAGAGTTTGAAGATCTTTGGTATGAATCTGATGGTGTTTATAGTCTCAGTTCTGTGGTCTTTACCCAGATGTAGATTTGTTGACTCTCAAAAGAATAGAATCAGTTCCTAAATGATTTTTGGATTAATCACATTGCAAATTATTTGTGTTTAATTCAGGGATCAAGAATTGAATTATAGAAATATTCACGTATTATTTAAAATATAATTTAAGGTGCCCATTACCACCTAGTGCCAGCACCCTGTTCTCAATCATACAGAGTGATTATGCATTATGTGTATTTTAAGACACCAGTTCTATAGTTAAGAAAAAAGAAGAGTCACTAAAAACGAAATACAGTTCACTGTTGAGACTTCCACATGACATAAAGAGAGATAAATGTACTGGAATGACATAAAAGTTCGGTAACATTTTGATTTTCAGCCTGTATTTCTTACTCATATTTTTGTTAGCAATTATTAATCATGTTGGTGTCATTCCCCTCAATCAATTAAGTGGTTACTTCATCTCTGGAAGTCTATCCGGCCTTAAAGCTAATCAATGGCACATCAAAGGAAAATAAATGCTCAGTTTCACTATTTTAGTGTCTCACCTTGCTCTTGTTAAAGCCCATGAGAGTTTTTGCCATGAACTTCAGTGGGTCTACTTATTAGGGTTTTAATCCTTTTTAGTATGTTTTTGAGGAATGGCCACAATGTCTATTCTACTATTGTACTTAGGGCAGATGTAAACAATGAGTCATTAAGCATTAATGTGTATGTTTTCAAATCTGTGGATGGCCTTTGCTTTACCAGTCAGTTACAGGAGTTCACAAGGATACTAGCTTTGCTAGGCTGAATAACCATATAGAGGTTATTGGTTATTTAGATCAATGAATCTTATATAATCCCTGTCACTTTTGCTACCTCAGGGAAACCAAGGGGACAACGGGATCGATGGAGTTAATGGAGAGCAGGTAAATTGTTTTGCTTCTGATTTGCTGTTGACATCAATGAATGTTTTTAAATGAGAAAACCTTACTTGTTTTTCTTTTCATTAAGGGATCACTTGGGCATCCAGGAATAAAAGGAGAAAAGGGTGACCTAGGCAACATGGTAATGTTTTCTACTATTATCTTCTTTGGTCAGGGTTTAGATGTGAGAGCAATTAGGTGGGTATACCGTGAGGCCGTCACTGCAGAAAAAATTTAGCTATATACCTTCTCATGGGAAATGGCCTAATGCAGTACCACAGATTTACTAATGTGTCTCAGCTTACTGAAAGAGGCATGTAAACACACTGTCGTCGTAATTCACACTGTACTAAAAATGGGATAAGCCATTTCTATTTCATTTTGAAGATATTTTTTGCTTGAAATTGTCAATTGTAAAGTTGTTTCAGATGAAGCATTTCTACTTCAGATGTGATATTTTCAAATTCTACATTTGCTCTAACTTTTCTTGGCACCAAAGAACTCCCCTTTAAGGCCGGAATTAAGCTATGTTCAGTGGCAAAAAAAGAAAAAAAAAGATCTACCTTAATGAAGAGTTAAGGTTACTTGGTGGAATGTTGTTTCCTTGCAGAATGTTGAGCTAAGCAAAACTTAAACTCCAGAAAAGAAAGAAATCAAGAGGTCGGGTTGCATATACAACCTCATTCAGCCCTTATTCAGTAATGCTCCAGTGTGCCCCATTAATAGCATGTAACTTGACTCTGCCAGGCCCAAAGCTCACCTTGTTTTACAGCCATCCATTTTAATTAACTACATTAATGTAGAGTTTTTACAATTTAATTTCCTAGTTTTTGATCAGGAGAAGATATGATGTTGGTAGTAATTCGTAGGCATTTAGGCAGCTGTACTTACCATGTCCTGCAATTTGTATATCAAGCCAAACCAGCTAGTCAGCAATTTTCATGCAATGGTGCATTCCATACTTTCTAGCAAACTTCTGCAACCTTGTAATCCAGGCATCATCAGGAATTCACGTGCTGGCAACTATAGCAGTGCATCAGTGTTTCTTTTCCCTTAGTGTTCACTTGAGTTCCATACCTCTGCATTATGTGTCTTTGTAAACACCAGGGTATTCTGTCTTAAAATTAGGATGTTGCAGCTAGCATTCCTATTGGCTAGTAAAATAGGTTTTTAAGCAACTAATCCAAGGTTTGGCAACCACCTGTCCTCATTACCCAAACCATCTGCCAATACAGCATCTCTTTTTTCTCTCCATCTCACCCTGCATGCCCACAATTCTCTTCTTCTCTCTTCTCCTCATCCATTATAACAAACATTTTGGTTAGGCCAACTGCTGACAATTCTGCTGTGTTTACAGCAATAAAAACAGAGACAATGTGCAGCAAGCACCAAGAGTAATTAGTTCTTTATAGCACAGTTGTACAAATGCTCAGACGGGAAACATCTGGAGTCTGAGTTTTGCTTAGCTCAGCATTCTGCAAGGGTGTTCACTAGTGCAATGACATTGGTACATCCTCTCAGATTACACAGGCAACCATAAAGTGTCTGTATAGAAGCCTCCTCATAGATTTTTATTGGTGCATGCATCCTGTAATCCTGCTTTGTATTAGATAAGGATATTGATGTAAGAGGCATCACAGAAACTAGGTGGAATGAGGATAATCAGTGGGACACAGTAATACCAGGGTACAAATATATCAAAGGACAGAACACATTGTGCTGGAACGGCATTATATGTGAAATAAAGGGTAGACTCAAATAAAATAAAAATCTTAAAAGAATCAAACTGTACCATAGAATCATTATGGATAGCAATTCCATGCCCTAATCATATGAATATAGCAGTAAGGATATAGTACCAACCATCTGAGCAGGATGGCAACAGTGAATGTGAAACACTAAGTGTGATTAGAGAGGCTATAAAAAACATACTCAATAATGAGGGATTTCAACTATCCCCATATTGACTGGGTACTTGTCATCTGAATACAAGATGCAGAGATACGTTTCTTGACACCTTAAATGACTGCTACTTGGAGCAACTAATCCTGGAATCCACAAAAAGAGAGGGAATTCTTGACCCTAAATCTTGGTCCTTGGAGGAGCATAGGACCTCGTCCAAGCTAGATCGCCTGGTAAAAGTAGCCATAATATAATTAAATGCAACATTAATTAATGTAGCAGAATGATGGGGATCATAAAAAGGAATAGATAATGAGACAGAAAATATTATATTGTCTCTGTATAAATCCATGGTATGCCTGAATCTTGAATACTGAGTTCAGATGTGGTTGCCCCATCTCATAGACATTGTATTGTAATTGGGAAATGTTCAGAAAAAAGCAACAGATTATTAGGGGTATGGAATGACCTCTCCATGAAGAGCGATTAATTAAACTGATTTTTTGTCCTGATAAAGAGATGACTAAGAGGGGATATAATAAAGGCCTAAAATCGTGTCTGGTGTGGAAAAAGCAATTATCAGACACATAAATTAATGTGAATCATTGGGGGGAAAGTCAACGTGGCTTTTGTAAAGGGAAATAAAAAGTTTTAACCAGGCAAATAAATGTCACGGGACTTAGAAATGAAACAGTTAGTTGAAACTGTCTCTGCTGATGACACAGCTGGGATACACATGCTACTACAGCGTAAATACTTTGTATTGTGGTCAGCTGTCCCTTTTTCACCATGCAGGATTCTGGCTAAGAGAACTATGAAAACTTATGAGGTAATAGCCATGCCCCCAGTCCGCTCCCATGTAGTAGGCATGTAGCTACATGGGGCTGTCTGCAAACTGATCCTTCTGGAATTGAATGTTAGTCTGCTGGAATTGATATCAAGATTTGGTCAGTTTCACCTCAGGCTGGTTCTGAGAGTTAAATACGATCAACGGAAGAAGGGAAACAGATAACATGCATGGCGTACATCTAGAAGTTTTTTTTCATGAGCACCTTGCAGTGTGCTGATTTTACAGCCTTCTAAAGGCTGTTTTATTATTTTTATTTATATTTCTTTATGGAACACCTCAGTATGTATGGCACTGTAATAAATATAGGCTTTTCACGGGTTGACTGGACTAATTAAATGTTTTAATTGGAAAGCAAAAGCATGTAATGATCTAAAATGTTGAGGGGCTTGCTTAACTAAATGATCATAATTATAAAAGTAAAATAAGAGGTTATGGATAAAGAAAAAATTTTAGAATGTGCTTGTTGAGGATCAGATTCTGCTACTCCTAAATTAATTACTTTATTCTCAAAGAGAATCCAGGGGATTTGTCACAAATTAAGGTAAAACTGGAGGTAAATAAAGATGGTAGTACTTGGTCTATGATGTGTAGATCGACGAAGGTATTAGTCATGGCATTTGCTAAAAATTAGAGTTGCAAAGGGATCTCACAAAAGTGGTTGTTTGGTCAACAAAATGGAAGATGAAATTCAACACTGATAAGCACAAAGTAATGCACATCGGAGAAAATAATTGCAACTACATTTATACAATGATGAGATCCAAATTAAATGTGACTACTCAAGAAACAGATCTTGGAGTCACCAGGGATGAGGGTGAAGGGCTAGTTTTCTGACAACTTCAGCTCAGCGTGCAGCAGTGGGCAAAATGGCTAACCAAATGTTAACAACTGTCAGGAAAGGTATGGAAAATCTGAAAATATAATAATGCCACTATATAAATCTGTGGTGCACCCCCATGGAAAATCTGAAAATATAATAATGCCACTATATAAATCTGTGGTCCACCCCTAACTCCAATTTCATTTCAAGTTCTGGTCATCCCTTCTTTAAAAGGATATAGTGGAGTTGGAAAAGATTCTTAGAAGAGCCGCAAAGATTATTAAGGGTATGGATTGTCTTCCTCTTAAGAAGAGACTGCAATGACTAGGGTTGCTCATTTTAGGCAAGAGACAACAAAAGGGGACATGATAGTCTACAAAAGCATGAATTGGGTGGAAAAAGTGAATAGAGATGAATTTACACTTTCACACAATACAAACCCAGGAGACAGCAGATAAAAGTAATGGTAGGTTTAATTCAAACAAGAGGGAGTACTTTTCACATGATGCACAATTAACTTGTGCAACTGATTGCTATGGGAAGTCATGAAGGCCAAATGTATAACTGGGTTCAGAAAAGAACAGGATAAGTTCATGAAGAACGGGTCCATCAATGACTATTAGCCAAGATAGTCAAGGATTCAACCCTATGCTCAGGATGACCCTAAAACTTTAACTGGTGGAAGATGGGTTGGATTACTCCAATGACTCTGTTCTGTGCACTCCCCCTGAATCACTGATACTGGCTACCATCAGAGACAGGATACAAGGCTCGGTAGATAATTGATCTGACCCAGTATGGTCATTCTTATGTTCTGAAATAAACATCATTTACACGTGGCAACTTTTTCATTTTGAATAAGAGTTTCAAGCTGTTGATTGAAATGTACTTTTTGTACAAATATCAGTGGTGGGGAATCTGATAGCTGAAGATCATTCTTTGTCAGAACGTAGTTACTGAACGTGTTTAATTGCAATTGTAGTAACTATTTTAGGTTTAGTAATATTGCAGTTGGTGTTCCCTCTCAGCTGAGCACTTGGGTGGCCACCCGGGAGAGACTGAAATGCCACCCGGCTGATTAGCAGAGAGCCCACATCTGGCAGCATGTGTTTCTACTAGTGGCGCACATCTGCGTATGCCTTGATGCACATAACAAAATTTATTTTGCACATGGATGGAAAAAGTTAGAGGAAATACTGATTGTAAGTAGCTTTTTTTCTTTGTGCCAAAAGAAAATGAAGAATTTGTTGCTGTTTTGTTTAGACATGAGCCTGAAGCAATATTAAGAGACAAACAATGTTCCTAATCAAATTGTGGTCTGGAACCATACAAAATCCCCAGATGCAAACAAACCTGAATGGGGTGTGTGTATCATAATCTGTATTAAAATGCTGGGACTTGTTTCTATTCTTTTGTTAGCATCCTTATGAAATGTTTAGATTCTCACTCAGCCATGTTATGATTTCAGGGCAATCCAGGGCCAAGAGGACCCTTTGGTGACCGTGGTGAGAAGGGCTTCCGAGGAGATCCTGTAAGTTTTTCTAGGTGCAAATCAATTATATATCATACCTTTATGACTCTATGGGATTCACCCAGACTAGATGGGGGTGGGGCGATTGTCACTGCCAGTTCTTTAAACCTGGGTTCTTCTGGGCTGTGCAACTTCAGCTCAGAGTACTGGCCAGAGCTTGCTCAAAGCACAGTTGCCTCACCCTGGCTTCTACCAGCCTGGTTACTCCTTGCAGGGTGACTCCATCAACTCTTCCAGTCCTGAGTCTCCCCCAAACCATCTCCCCTCTCGTGTCCAGTTCCTCTCACTTGATCCTCACAGAAGTGGTCAAGTTTTCTGCCTTCGAAAAGCAGAACACATGCCAGCCTGGTGGCTTGGCTGGGGATTTTATCCTTCAGTTTAATACACAGTGCTGAAAGAGTTTTGTAATAAAACAAGAATAAGTGTATTAACAAAAAACAGAGATTTAAGCAATAATAAGTAAGACTAGAAGAGACATGGTTGGTGACAAGTCAAAACAAAATAAACCCTGCTTTGCAATGACCCCTTAGACAATCATTGTCTAAGCAGGTTTCTCCCCTGTAGTCAGTTTTCCGGCTGCTCTTGCCTCCTGGGGCAAAAGGATCCACTTTTCATGGCCTCAAAGGATGCTGCTCCTCTTTATCCCCTTGGTGATAATGGATACTCCAAATTCATTAGCAGATGCTTATATGTTCAAACTTTATCTCTGTTTTCTGAGCTCCTGAGGGATCAGCCTTCTGAGTCCAAAAGTGAGCCAACACATTTTAATTTTTTGCAATGCAAATGATCTTCCCGTGATCCCTGATACAAATGTATCGTCCATTGTTCTTGGCCACACCTGTCTTCGTTTGCAATTGAGCCCAAAAGGAATTGGCCGTTCTTCTTTGCCCCCTGGAAGGGCTGTCAGATTCCAAAAGTGTATCCATAATTATACGTATGGGTACATTTCACAGCAGCATTCATCACCAGCATGTTGTTTTCAAATGCCATGTTACAAAATACTTTTTACATAAATATCATGAGTGAGCTAGATTGAGCTGGCCAGGCTGGCTGACTCATACCATTACATATGATAGGACCCTTGGCAGTGGGCTGCTCTCAAGATTACAACATTAAGGATGTGATTCTAATCTCCAAACCTCACTTAAGATGCACCAGAAAGCGAATGAACATACGAGGATTATAAGCCTCCATTCAAAAAATACCGTATTTTTTCAAAGGTGTATTAGTACAGGTGTTTGTCTATTTCACTGTAATGGCGAAGATGAGGATACTATCTCAGCTAAACCTAGCAGCTCTTAGGCCTTCACAATAACTAACTTTCACATTCCTTTTCTGAGACTAATACATCTGGGACATTTCATGAGCCCAAGATATCCCATATGCTATCCTTTCTGAAATTAAAAAAAAAAAGCATGATACTCCTTTAAATGTCTAGTCTAAAGACAACTAATTGATCTACATGTGGCTGTACAGATCTGTCAGTTCCTTGAGAGACCTACGAGAAAAATGCAGTAGTACCAGATGTCTTGTGAATTTATGGACAGGACTTAAACAGGATTCAAAAAAGATCTAGATAGGTTCATGGAGGTTAGGTACATTGATCACTGTTAGTCAGGATGGGTAGGAATGGTGTCCCTAGACTCTGTTTGTCTTGAAATGGATGACAGGGGAAGGATTACGTGTTGTGTTCCCTCCCTCTGGGGCACCTGGCATTGGCCACTGTTGTTAGACAGGATACTGGGCTAGATAGACTGTCTGTCTGACTCAGTGTGGCCATTCTTATGTTCTTGTGACACTTTGTGTGGGGCTTTGTGTCCATTTACTAGTGGAATTATGGTATTCCTAAATCAGTGTGGCAGGTTTCAGTGGTAGCTGTGTTAATCTGTTTCAGCAAAAACAACAAGAAGTCCAGTGGCACCTTAAAGTTTAACAATTTATTATTTTATTAGAATCATAAAATGGTTAGTCTTGAAGGTGCCATTGGTCTCGTTGTTGTTTCTACTCCAGTATGTAATTATATACCACTAGGTTCCACATGGGTTCCCTCCATGTGCTGCTCAGGGCCACATGTCCTGGGGGGGAGTGCAAGAGACTTTGTATGGGCTCCCTGCCCCCAAGCTAATTGGGTCCTGGCGGCAAGGGAGCACGCAAAGTCTCTCACCCCCCACCAGGGGCACACATCGCATAAAGGGAACCACTAGCTGTTCAAAACAGCTGGCAGTTCCTTCTATGCCCTGCGCACCCATGGCAGCGGGGACATGGAGAAGAGATTTTGCATGCTCCCGCTGCCCCCTCGCGAATCCTCGCATCTCGGGGCAGGGGAGCATACAAAGTCTCTTTCTTCCTGTGGGGGGCATGTGGCAGGCAGATGGAGCCACCAGCTGTTAAAACCAGTTGGCAGTTCCCTCGATGTGCCACGCAACCCTGGCAAAGCAGTTTTCTCTCTAATTTATCTAATGCAGGGGGATTTACCCAAGGAAGATTATGGCCTAATAAATCTATTAGAATGTAAGGTGCCACAGGACTCCTCTGTTTTGCACGTACAGACTAACATGACCACCTCTCTGAAACTTACTAAGGAGTGGTTTTTTTTTTTAAATAAAACAGAGACTGTTTTTCGTTTTCAGAACATAGTATGTAGGAAAACACTAATGAATGGAAATTACATCTTGTATGAAAAGGTCCTGCAGCGTTTTCTGCTAGCATGTCTCCCTCGGTAGAGGGTGTGTGAAAGAGCTTTTCCTCTACCTCTTTTTGAGTGGTGTCTCCTGAAGAGGTGATCTGTCACAGTCCATGGGCCAGTTTATAAGAGTTTGACTTCACTGAAAGGTCTGCCATATGATTATGCTGACCATGCAGCCTGTTTTTTCTGGGACAGTCCTGAATTTAAATACTCTGCCCCAGTGCCCCATCAAGTAGTGAAATGTCCCAGAAAGCCCTGCCAGACATTTCACTACTTGATGGGAACTCCAGCTTGCAGTAAGAAGTGACCAAGAAATGGCTCCATGTCATTGCTCCTTGCACAGTGCAGCAGCCTCTCCACTCCCAGCAGGGCTCATAGACAGCTGGGCCAGCTTCCTGTGGCATGTGGCCTCTCCCTCCCACCGCAGGACTGCCTCTCCTGCGCAGGGTCCTGGTCCAGCAGCACAGCCTTCTTCTCTTCCAGGCCGCTTGTTAGTATAGTGGCCCTCTCTACTTCTGCTGGGGACCGTGAGCAGGTCAAAGGTGAAACCCAGTAGAGCCACTCCCGGACCTCCATGCCTTGAAGCCCCTGCAGACGTTTTGCAAGACAGTGATTTCATAAAAAATAAAACCTACAGATATTTAACAGTATTGTGTAAAGGATGATAAGCTATTAATCTTTGTCAGAGGTAACAAAGGGTTAACTCCTTCAGTGTTTTCTTATTCTTTTTTTCAGGCTTCCATGCTGAAAGATTCTGAGCATCTACTATGAGATATAAAATGCCATCTGCTCCACTGCAATGTAAATATACTTAATATTGTGTGTCTGTTTAGGGGAACCCTGGATTGAATCATATCAGAAGAGGGCCTAAGGGATCAAAAGGAGACTGGGGAAGACAGGTAACTATTTAGAAATATGAGACTTTGTTTACAACTACATTGTTTAAAATACTAAACTACAATACGTTAAAATCTAGCTAGATACAACACATTAAAATTAATCCATTGATAGCCAATACAACAATTCTATCGTTCCTAATTGTGTACCAAACAGTACATCTGAAATCAACAAGATGGTATTCAATAAAGACAAATACAAAGTACCACACTTGGGAAAGAGAAGTCAGATGTGCCACTATATAACTGGGAATAGCTGACTAGCATGGGTGGTGGATGAAGGCGCAGCTGGGGAAGACAAGCCCCAGCCCTACCTTTTCCGCCCAAAGCCTGCCCCTGGAGCCAAGCTCCACTCACCACCAGCCCGATCCTTCCTGGCCCCCTGGAGGACTCAAGCTGCTGTGCCCCAGCCCCAGCCTCAGCCGTCCCCAGAGAGCTGCCGCGCCACTGCCCCATCCCTCCCTGATGGCCAGGGAGCTGGGCTGCTACGTTGTGGCCCCAGCTATTGGCAGCCGTGCATGTTGGCAGTTTGGGGAGAGCCGTGCCTTCCCTTGCCTGCATTACCCACTGCCCATGCTGCCTAGGTAGTAGTGCTGCCAAAAATGGTTTGTCGGGTAAGATGGATCATAAATTCAGTATTAATCCACCATGCGATTCATTTGCAAAAGTGGTTAATATCATTCTGGGATGTATTTTAGGAGAAGTGTATGTAAAACACAGGTGGTAATTGTCCCACTTTTCTTGGCACTGGTGGGGCCTCAACTCATATATTGCATCCATTTTAAGAAAGTTGTTGATGACCTGGAGGGAGTCCAGATAAGAGCAATAAATAAATAAATACAAGGTTCAGAAAACCTAACCTACAAGGAAAATTTAAACAAACTGGGTGTATATAGTCTTGGGAAAAGAAGACTGAAGGAGGGACCTCATAAGTCAGGATGTAAACAGGATGATCATCAATAGTTCTCCAGGTGCACAGAAGATAGGAGAGGAAAAAATCTGGTTACTCTGAAGCAAAGGAGGTTTAGGCTGGATATCAGGAAAAACTTTCTGCTGTAGAAGCAGTTCAGCCCTGGCATAGGCTGCCAAGGGAAGTTGTAGAATCCTCATCCTTGAAGGTTCCCTGTTAGGGATGATCTAGGTTTACTTTGCCCTACCTCAACACATGGGCTAGACTTGATGACCCCCTTAAGTCCCTTCCACTCCTACATTTCTGTAGTTCTCTGATTCTGTCCTTAGGGGTGAACTGAACTCTACACCTCTCACTAGTCCCACTTTTGAAATTCTCCTTTTTAAAAAAAAAAGATGAAAAATGTCATGTACGACATACCTACGATTACTGGTTTTTTAAAACATTTATTACAGTAATGAACTTCCACAGATCATCTTCCAAGTGTGTGGGGGGGAGTATTTAAAATGCTATATATAGCCCAAACACTACCCCAGAAAGTGCCCCTGAATTTACATTGATTTCATTGCATTAAAAGACTTGTAGAAGGTATCTGCATAGCATGCATGAGATCAGTGTCTATACATACCGTGGAATGGTAACTGTAATGACTAAAACACCTTCCAGACAAATATACTTTTAGGACAGCATAATAGTTTGAGTACGAATACATTATGAAATATACCTTAATACAATGGCAGTCATTTGACGTTATTTGCCAGTAATGTTATAGATGCAGCCATGCAACTGAAGGGCTGTGCTTCTGTTGTTCATTCCAACAGCTGAATAAGCACATACAGGTGTTGTGTGCCAAAGTGGTATGAAAAGAAAATTTCCCCCTTGGTTTGCTTGTCCACTGTCATGACTAGTTGGCTTAAGAATCTGAAAATATATAAAAAGTTTTGAATTTGAGTGACAATTGAACTATAACATGAAACTTAATTTCCTATTTCCAGGGTGAAAAAGGACCAATGGGGTCACCAGGCTCACCAGGCCCTAGGGGAACCCCGGTAAGAACCCGTGTAGACAGAGGGATTAAATATTCAAGGACAATGCTTGATACTAATCCAAGGTAGAGAGAATGATCTCAGAAGCCATACGTTTTCTTTTGATCACACTCTCCACCAGCCTCTTTGCATTGCAGGAAAATGAGAGAAATAAATCTCTGATAGACTGCCCTGAACAGATTACAACTAACAGTAGCTCTGATTCCAGATGAACTCTTCCCCCTTGAACAGAAGTATCCAACACAACTGATGGACTATCTGAGACAAAAGAGGTTCCTCATTTCTTTCAGATTCAGAACCAGCTGCAATACTTTCCAGTTTTGTCTCCCAATTCTGGCTAATGACAACTTCTGTGTTTCTTTTTGATTCTTCCACAGAAAGAGAAATTCTGCACAGACAAGGATTTGCATTAATATACTCTTTTTATTTTGTGGTGTGGCAGAGTAGCAGGGCTATCTGGCTCCTGTGTCTGTCCCAGCATCCAAATTAACCAGAGACCCTTGTGCTGGTCCAACACCTTCCACAGTCTATTTTCAAATTGATTGTCACCACCTTCATAATATATATACAGCCGATCCCCGATTCTGCACAGACAAGGATTTGCATTAATATACTCTCTTTTTTTTTGTGGTGTGGGAGAGTAGCAGGGCTACCTGGCTCCTGTGTCTATCCCAGCCTCCAAATTACCCAGAGAACATTGTGCTGGTCCAATGCCTTCCACAGTCTATTTTCAAATGGATTGTCACCACCTTCATAATATATATAGCTCCTATAACAAGCATGGGAGAGCAAAATCTCTCTCTTCCTCCCCCCCTTAACTGCTTCCTTCCTCCTCCCTCTCCACTTCCTTCCTGTGCCTATTTGTGAGCTCCAAAGGCTTAATTAGCATTTCTGCCCTGGCCAACCCACAAATTAAATACAACTCTGCTTAATCCATTCTGCCTTGCTTGGTTGGAGCTGCTGTGAGCAGCCTTTCTTGCCTGCTACCATGTCATAAGCAAGTATCAATAAGAACAGACTAATGAGGGTGGAAACTTTCCCACTTCATTTTGGGAAACGTCTTTAAGCAGCACTGGCAAAACACATTTTATAAACACATCTGTTTTTCTAGGGCGGACAGGGCCTGAATGTTTTAGGTCTTCTCTTGGCACAGCAAGACTGAAGTTGAGTGCAGGGAGCAAAAGGATAGCAAAGTAATATCCCAACACATCCACCATCACCTTCACGTTTGCTTTGCACTCAGTCACTGTGCTAGCATGTATAGTAACGTGAGCACATCACAGAGCATTGTGTGAATATCGAATTATCAAGGAAAAACCTAACCAATAGTTGCCACCGCTTCTCTACTGCTGTCATTTAATTGAGAGTGATAACTGGGGTCTAACAAGTGTCTAACAAACATCTATCTTGTCTTCTATCAGGGACCAAATGGTCGAAGAGGAGCCCCGGGTTTACAGGTAAGTTTAATTAATTTCCCATGTCTACAGTAGGGACGTAATTATTGGATCAAAAAATTAACTGGTTAAATAATTCTAATTGTACTGTTTAATTGCTTGACCGTTGGTCGGCCAGTGAAGGGCAACTGGGGCTGAAGTCCTACCAGGGCCGCAGTCCTGCTGTGTTTGTGGGGCATGAGTCCTTCCTGTGAGGCACAGCTAGGGCTGCTCCAGGCCAGGATGCCTGCCATGCATGGGGCTGTGGCTCTTCCACTATGGCCCGTGTCTTGCCTACTGATTGGCTGAGCACAACCATGGCCAGGGTCCCACCTGCCTGCCACAAAGCCAGAGCCCTGGCTGCCTCTGTCACATGGCCAGGGTTCCGCTGGCTGGCCAGCCTGTTACCACCAGAACTGCTCCACCCTGGAGCGACTGGCCATTCAGTGGGGTTTGGGTGAGGTCTGGTTAACTGGCTGCCCAGCAAGCGTTTCAGTAAGTCTAATGCTTGACTAGTTAATCTTTTACATCCCTGATCTATAAAGTAGGATTATTGTTAGTTGTCCTGCCTTCTAAAATATTTGCAACGGAAGTCCAATATTTATTTTAGATGTGTTAGGATAAGGCACAAATCCTGCTTGCCTTTCTCAGAGAATTAGTCTCAGTGACTTCAGTGATACTACTTGTGTTCTGCAAAATTCCCATTGACGTTAATGAGAGCTAATAGCTGATAGTAAGAAGTAAAAGGGACATTTATCCATCTATCTAGAAGAAAGGGAATGTTGTCCTTTTAAGGGCTCTCTCTTGAAAAGGGGGTGGGGAAGAGGATTGTTAAAGGAGAGTAGAGATGGATAGAAAGGACAGGAAGACTTTGGAAGGAAGATTTTGTACCAGAGTAATTAAAATTAGTGTGTGTATTTTAGATAAGGATAGATGAAGAATTTATTTAAAAAACTATAGGTCTGAAGATCCAAGCATTTGAGGCTAAATCTGAATGCTCAGGTTTATCTAACTATGGATTTTTAGAGACGTGATTTTATAATCTTCAACTACAAACTAAAGTATTTAAAGCAAGTTCTAAACTAAGATCCTGTAGACATAGTACTGCACAACTGGCTATGTCAGTAAGTTCACGGTTGGCACGTACTGTTAAATGGTTTCATTACCATTTGTGGCTCTTTCACAGGATCAGTGTTATGTTGTTAGGTCTGGCGTGCTGGAAGGCTTTTCACTTTCAGCTTAACAGATCCTTTTTTTTTGCGGGGGAGGGGAATTCATCAGTCAGCAACAGCTTGATGTAGGAGCCTGCAGGAATGATCAACATTGGGATAGGAAGATGATAAAAGTTGAGCACTAAGACCCAGGGGACACATTGCTTCCCCTTGCCTCTTATACCTGCTGCGTATGGTTGGCACTGCCCCATATTATAGGCAGTATGGGATAGAATCCAAAAGAGACTGCAAATTCTGCTTATCTCTTTGGGGTCTATAGATGTGCTAGTTTCAGACAGTCCTGAGGTGAGTGTCATTGTAGTATGCCCCTGAAAAGAGGTAAAACATAGGGAGGAGGCGCTTTATACACTCCACCGGCTTTCATCTCTGTATGGCAAGGTATTGTCCAAGAAACTGAAAAAAACGTATCTCCAAAACCAGATTTCAGGTATCACGTCTTAGAACAGCTGCTATGGTTAAACGCTCAGACTGCTTAGTGGCAGCAATTAAGCTTTATTTAATTTCTGGATATTAAAAAAAAAAATTTAATCTGTATGTTGCAATAACTGATTCTATTAAAAATCTGGCAGGGCATGCTGCTAGAGTCTTGACAGACTGCGCTAAGAAATGACAAGAGGTGTTCAATGCCAAATAAATGATATTAGAGACTGAAAATATCCTACTGTTCTCCTGGCAGACCAGTTACTATTATGATCACTTGAGAAAATTACTATAAGAAACTCTCTCTTAACGCAGGGAGAGAAAGGAAAGGAAGGTCCAAAAGGTTCTGAAGGCGAACAAGGATTTCGAGGATCCCAGGTGAATATTAACATTCATCTAGATATTTTCGAGGAAAAAGAGAACTTGAAATACAAAAGAGAAATGAAAAAGTCTGTGTCCAAAAATCTAATGGCTCCGTGTCCAGACTCACACAAAGCACAGCCAATGTGTAAGTGAATATATTGTTGGTGGCTCTGAAGCACCAGTAGCATAGATTTGAATTGGTCATAGCATAGTAAAGAAGGAATAATTTAAACTTCTCACACAGCTCTATCCATGCTCCTCTTTCCTGGCTTGCACTACCTCTGATGTTCCAGTGCTGCCCCTCTGTTGAACAAATAATAGCCAAGTATGACTTCACTGGATACTGATCAGAGAGGAAACTTCTTCCTCATGTTGATGAGTGATCCAGTGAAACACCTCATGTAACCAGTATAATTAAAGGATGTACGATCTGGCCCTGTGTGATTTTAGAACTATATTAGCCCCCTGCATTGCAAATATGGATATAGATTCGCTTTTGCAGGTACAAGGACTACAAATTGAAGAAACTGTACTAGGGATTTCCTTGAAGGTTATTCCTGGTGAGGCAGCTGCACTAAGGATGTTAAAATGCAGTAAATTGACTCGTCAATGGACAGGAAGACTTTAGAAGCAAGTTTTTCTACCAGAGTAATTCAAATTAAAGCGTGTATTTTAGATAAGGGTAGTTGAAGAATTTATTGCAGCCTGGGACCAGTGGAAAGTCCCACTAACTCCGGGCTGCAGGCAGGTGCCTGCTTTGAAATGCTTAAGAATCCCCAACAGGGGCTTTTGTGCATTTCAAACCATGGAGCCCAGAGTCACTGTGAGTCCCCCACTGACCCCGGACTACGCTGCATGCCGCTAGGAGCCCGGGGTCAGCTGACCTTGGCTGAGGACTCCCCCACTAACCCCGGCTTCCAGGGAAGTGCCACGCAGAGCTCAGAATCAGCTGGGGACTCCCCAGCTGACCCCGGGGGATCCCTGGCTGCCCCTCTGAAAGGTGCAGAGGCAGCTTTTTAAAGGGGCCATGGATCAACAGTGCAGCAGCTGCCCCTTTAAACACCACCTTGGGGTTTCGAATTGGAAGCGCTGCTGTGCGGTGCCCCCTTTGAAGTACCCCTTCCCTACCTTTGCTGCCCCAATCTATAGAGTCAGCAAAGGGGGATATATGGACTAGTCAACTAGTTAAAATAGTGTCCGATAAGCAAATACTTATCGGATAATTGACTAGTTGACTAGTCTTTTACATCTGTAAGCTGCACCAAAGGTCTGTCCCATGGGTGTTCCAATAGGAAAGATTCAATTCCACCCCAAGCTCCATAGGCACTCAGCCTGGAAGAAGAGTGAATCTGCATCCTTCCCAGCAAGCTTATCTCATCCTCTCTGAATATCTCCATCCTCTGACTGCTCAGGTGTTGGGACTAGATGACAGAGGATGGATCACTTGATAATTGCCTTGCTCTGTTCATTGACTTTGGACCATCTGGTGTTGGTCACTGCCAGAGGACAGGGTATTGGGCTGATGGACCATTGATCTGACCCAGCATTGCCATTCTTATTTTCTTATGGTTATCTCATCCTCTCTGAATATCTCCATCCTCTGACTGCTCAGGTGTTGGGACTAGATGACAGAGGATGGATCACTTGATAATTGCCTTGCTCTGTTCATTGACTTTGGACCATCTGGTGTTGGTCACTGCCAGAGGACAGGGTATTGGGCTGATGGACCATTGATCTGACCCAGCATTGCCATTCTTATTTTCTTATGG